ATATTGTAAAGATGTAAAAATAAAATTTCAGTGAAGATGTACCATAGAAAAGTGACAATTGTCATAATCGTTATTTGTGAACTTTTTTGAATTTTTTTAAAGTAAATAGGTAAAAATATATATTGTAAAGATGTTAAAATAAAATTTCAGTGAAGATGTACCATAGAAAAGTGACAATTGTCATAATCGTTATTTGTGAACTTTTTTGAATTTTTTTAAAACAAATAGGTAAAAATATATATTGTAAAGATGTAAAAATAAAATTTCAGTGAAGATGTACCATAGAAAAGTGACAATTGTCATAATCGTTATTTGTGAACTTTTTTGAATTTTTTTAAAGTAAATAGGTAAAAATATATATTGTAAAGATGTTAAAATAAAATTTCAGTGAAGATGTACCGTAGATAGGTGACAATTATCATAATCGTTATTTGTGAACTTTTTTGAATTTTTTTAAAACAAATAGGTAAAAATATATATTGTAAAGATGTTAAAATAAAATTTCAGTGAAGATGTACCATAGAAAAGTGACAATTGTCATAATCGTTATTTGTGAACTTTTTTGAATTTTTTTAAAACAAATAGGTAAAAATATATATTGTAAAGATGTAAAAATAAAATTTCAGTGAAGATGTACCATAGAAAAGTGACAATTGTCATAATCGTTATTTGTGAACTTTTTGAATTTTTTTAAAGTAAATAGGTAAAAATATATATTGTAAAGATGTTAAAATAAAATTTCAGTGAAGATGTACCGTAGATAGAGTGACAATTATCATAATCGTTATTTGTGAACTTTTTTGAATTTTTTTAAAACAAATAGGTATAAATATATATTGTAAAGATGTTAAAATAAAATTTCAGTGAAGATGTACCAGTAGATAAGTGACAATTGTCATAATCGTTATTTGTGAACTTTTTTGAATTTTTTTAAAAGCAAATAGGTAAAAATATATATTGTAAAGATGTTAAAATAAAATTTCAGTGAAGATGTACCGTAGATAGGTGACAATTATCATAATCGTTATTTGTGAACTTTTTTGAATTTTTTTAAAACAAATAGGTAAAAATATATATTGTAAAGATGTTAAAATAAAATTTCAGTGAAGATGTACCATAGAAAAGTGACAATTGTCATAATCGTTATTTGTGAACTTTTTTGAATTTTTTTCAAAACAAATAGGTAAAAATATATATTGTAAAGATGTAAAAATAAAATTTCAGTGAAGATGTACCATAGAAAAGTGACAATTGTCATAATCGTTATTTGTGAACTTTTTTGAATTTTTTTAAAGTAAATAGGTAAAAATATATATTGTAAAGATGTTAAAATAAAATTTCAGTGAAGATGTACCGTAGATAGGTGACAATTATCATAATCGTTATTTTTGAACTTTTTTGAATTTTTTTAAAACAAATAGGTATAAATATATATTGTAAAGATGTTAAAATAAAATTTCAGTGAAGATGTACCAGAGAAAAGTGACAATTGTCATAATCATTATTTTTTAACTTTTTTGAATTTTTTAAAAGCAAATAGGTAAAAATATATATTGTAAAGATGTTAAAATAAAATTTCAGTGAAGATGTACCGTAGATAGGTGACAATTATCATAATCGTTATTTGTGAACTTTTTTGAATTTTTTTAAAACAAATAGGTAAAAATATATATTGTAAAGATGTTAAAATAAAATTTCAGTGAAGATGTACCATAGAAAAGTGACAATTGTCATAATCGTTATTTGTGAACTTTTTTGAATTTTTTTAAAACAAATAGGTAAAAATATATATTGTAAAGATGTAAAAATAAAATTTCAGTGAAGATGTACCATAGAAAAGTGACAATTGTCATAATCGTTATTTGTGAACTTTTTTGAATTTTTTTAAAGTAAATAGGTAAAAATATATATTGTAAAGATGTTAAAATAAAATTTCAGTGAAGATGTACCGTAGATAGGTGACAATTATCATAATCGTTATTTGTGAACTTTTTTGAATTTTTTTAACAAATAGGTAAAAATATATATTGTAAAGATGTTAAAATAAAATTTCAGTTAAGATGTACCATAGAAAAGTAACATTTGTCTATTTTTCAACTTTTTAGCTGAAACGAGCAGACTTTTATTTACTCCCCTTTATCTTATTGGGCGAGCTAGCTAAATAATATCAAAAATTACGAGCGGACCGGTTAAAAATTTTTTACTTTTAATTTTTATCTAAAATTTATCAGGTAACATTAAAAAATATATGCTTCATAAAATTTTAACATTTGTCCAAAGTACAAATAATTGTTGTGGATGTTATATGTGGGAAAAGCCTATGAGATTAAAAAACTTCTTATTTTATTTACATGGATGAATATAAATCGACGTGAATAAAAATATGATTTCACCTATGGCCCAAAAGAAAAGAAAATTTAATTATTAAATTTTAAATGCACTGTTTGAAATAGGTAGCATCCACGTCAAGATTAAATCACAACATAAGATTAGATGAGGTTATGAGATGAGAGCACACTTTTTAATTACATAACCATTTAAATTTTAAAGTAAGTTTATTGATATTTTAAGGCTTAGCACCATTTTTTTGTACATTTCTTTAATTTATTATTTTAGAAAATATAAATCCCTTCTCTTTCTCAATTATTTAAAATTTGTAATAATAATTTAGCAATATTTTTTGATTCTTTAAAATATTTCATTAAAATGTATTATTTATATTATATTTATTATTTTAAATTTCAATGATTATAGCGCCTCGATGGCACCAGTAAGTTTTTGTATAAAATTTTTATTTTTAAAAAAATTCTTATTTTAATTTATATTTAAAAAAAAAATCTTTTTTAAAATAATTTACATTTATAATGAGTAGTTTATCTTTATCTTCTTCTTCAAGCAATGCCATTACTATGATGGATTCTCAAGAGATAGTAGAAGATGAAGTAATTTATATTAATTTTATATTTAAAACTTATAAACCCAATGTTTTATAAAAAAAAGACCTTATTTAGAGATTTAGAGTTAGAAAATACTAATACTATTATGGATTCTCAACAGAAGAATGAAGATGATGTAAGTTTTAATATTTTTTTATATATTTAATTTAAATTATTATACCTAATTAGTGTTTTCGGCCTGGGTTCAAGCCGGTTCAGAAGTTATTTAATATGATACCAATTTAGAGAAATGATAAAAATATTTTATTCAAAAATAGCGCACGGGTCGGGCTTCAGTCGACTCATGACTAATTAACCGGTTTGAATATGAGTCGTTTTGCCGGCCTCGGTCAACTATTTAGCAACAAAAGACATTGTGTTGTTAAAAAGACAGTTCACCCGACTCAGAGTCTCTAGACGTTATTCGAATTAGTTGATTAACTCAAGTCGACT